ATAATAATAATAATGATAATAATAACATATAGACAGAAAAAGGCCGGGAAAAGGTGTAGTTGAAGTAAGGACAGAAGAGGAGGGGTGAAAGGAGGAAGAAGAAGAAGAAGAAGAGGATGAGGGAGGGGAACTAAGGGAAAAAAGACAAACTGACAGACAAGACTGAAATTAAAATGCTGAGAGAGTAGAGACAACAATATAGAGAGGGGGGTATAGAGAGGGAAAGGCGGTGGAGAAAGATCGAGAAAGAGAGAGAGAAAGAGAGGGAGAGAGAGAGAGGGGGTGGGGAGCTTAAAGTCTGGAGAAGGCATGGAAGAAAGAGCGTTGAGAGTCCATTAGGTCTAGATGCATGTAGGGCAACAATTATCCAACTTTATCATGTCCAAAGCCCTAGTCTCACCATAAACGAATGTCTCATGTCTGGATCCCTTCATTTGCCACACCACCATGGACAACATCCCAAATACAGCACAATCCACCTCGCTCGGCTTATCACCCATCAGGAAAGCTTTGCCAACTGAGGAAAATGAAAACAGACCCTTTCACGTCCCTTTCAAGGCGTTTCCTGAATCAGTGAATACGGTCCACCTGCAGGAAAAATTTGCACAGTATACCATATGTTTTTATAACTGGTGTAATCTTGTACTGCTAGGCTCTGGTGGCACCTCTAGGCAGTCTGCTCTTCAACATGGACTTGTAACCTCCAGCACCGATATATATACTAATCTGGTAGTCTTATCTTTATTCTATATTGCTTTACAAATTAAAAATCCAGAAGCCAAGATAAAATCCCGCAAGCAGCGCACATCCACAAGTGAAAATGGAGCTTTTAAATGCTAAAAATAAAAATGTGACAAAATTCTTCTCAACCAGAATAAGTCTTATTGGTCAAAGCAGAAGCCACAGGATCTAATCCATATTTTCTTATTCTAAGGATTTGTTTTGAAGAAATATTTTCTCCACTGCAGATACATTGGTCTTCGTCAGATATAAACAGACGAGCTATTATTATTATTATTTTTTAAGAGTATTATTATTTTCCCAATTATCATAATCATCATAATTATTATTATTATTATTATTATTATTATTATTATTATTATTATTATTGTTATCATCATCATCATCATCATATTAATATTATCATAACTGTTGCTGTTACTGTTATTTTTATTTATCTATTTATCATTATTGTTAGTATTATTTTCAGTATTTTACACAACCAAGAATACGTCAATGAAACCATCACCTCTTTATGGAAGTTAATTAAAACCTTGCCAAACATTTTCAGATAATCGTTAATGGATGAAAAAATAAAAACAGCAACATAACCGAGTACAGCGTTCTGTAAAATGTTCAGGAAAAAAGCACCATAGGATACGGATGATTATCTGACTGAATTGTAAAATGTGAGGCAGCTTAGTGGAATCAGGCTCTCGTCAATTTTTGGGCATATTGAGTTATTGGTATCATATTAAAGCTTATTCACTTGTTTGCTTTCAATTAAAAAATTACCCATCCATCTTCAATAGAAGTTGAGATATTTTGGATTGAAGGATGTGGGGGGTCACCTGGTTTAAGAGGTAAAATTAGCGAGAAAATGAACGCCAAAGCTTGGTAAATTCCAAAGATGGAGTGTCCATGGAAACTGTAAATGTATATTTTTGTGCCTTTAATCAACGTTTTCCGTGAAATCCTCAAGGGAATGTGTTTGTAAATGGACATAAAAGGTGTTGAGCCAAAAGACAAAAATTTGATAGAAATTGCTAAGCAGGGAGGAAACTGCTGTTTTCTTCGATTTCGTTATTTTGACGAGAGCCTGATTCCACCACGCTGCCTCACAAATTATACTGCTCTGTGTGTGTGTGTCCTCTAATGTCTGAGCGTAAACCTAACCAAAACTGTGGCTTATCTCCTTGCGGACGCGCATTGTGGTTACTCAACAACTGTTTTCTTACGCGCTGTTTTATGACACTTGAAATCTTTAAAAGAATCATAACTTCATAGCGTCCTTACCTAAACAGATTTTAAAATTAAATTTTCTTGATCTGTAACTTGAAAAAAACTGGCAACAACATAATAATATACACTGTGAAGTAAGAAAATTTGTGTTTCTGGTTTGGGTATGAAGGTTCGAAATGTGCAACAACGTCACCTTTGTTCTGCTGCTGATCAGACATACAGGGTGAGTCAAAACTACGTTAACACTATCTCAAGGACAGAATACAAGATGGCATAAAAAATGCATCAAGTATTCCCAGCGAAATGTGTGTCAAGGCACAAGATAGCATTGTTGATCTCTTGTATTTGTGTATTGACCATGCTGCTAACCAGGTTGAGATTGTTCAGTACATTCTGAATAAATGATTTCCCCCATGCTATAATTACTTATTTTATCCTTCCTCTTGTACCTCTTTGGCGTGGAGGGGAGAAAGAGCTTTTTGTCTCTAGCAAGATAGATGGACTGGCTGGGTGGAATGTTGTATGGTTTCAGGCTATCCTTCACACCCTCGTTCCATAATAAAATATTGTTAACATAATTTTGCCTTACTCTGAGTATTGCGTGCGCTACGGCTATAAATGATAAAGAGTTCACTCACCTAACGTGTCGGACAAGGCCTGAAGGTCACGTTGGGCAATACTCCAGATCTCTTCATCACTGTGGCGTCCCATCCCGTGGCCCCACAGCTCAATACGCACGACAACTCCCACCAAGAGCTTGAACATGAAGATTGCAAACGAAGAGAAGACACCCTTCAGGAGGATATCTAGGCTTTGTGGTCGTTTGATGAATGACTCGTAGCACATGGTCCTGTTAAGTAGACATAGAATGTGTGCCTCCTTACAAATTCTTCTAAAGTATTAATTTGTTCCTAGATCTTCTTTAACAACCGAGTGAGAATGACAGTTTACATATTATGAAACGTTCACGTTTGATAAAGGATTCTATGTGTTGAACATATTTGGTCTACCGATATCTATGGCGTAGCCGTTAGGTGCTTCACCGTCGCACGCAGGAGACCGGAGTTCGATTCCCGTGTGGTAATAATTTTTATCGAGTATCTCGGTCGAGGCCCGCGTTCTAAACTATCTTAATCTCGCGCCGATAGGGAAAGTTTTAAAAAGAATGCACAGTCGGGCACAGACAAAAAGGAACACAGAAAGCTCGAAATGACGAATAGCTCGTACAATGTGCCATTCCCCGACTGACATCTCTTTAACTCATCATTATTGGTTGACCCGAATTATGGATGTGTCGAACAGATTTGTAAATCACCGACGTGTTTGTTGAAAGAGGTATTAAACTAATTCGTAAATTCTGCAAGAGAAAACTAGAGCTGACCAGTAGAGATTTTCCTCAGTCAGTTCCCGCATGGCCCTCGCCACGGCACACTGCTCCTTACTGAGACCTTTGTCCAGGTCAAGGTCAAAATAAGTCTTGAGATGCTCCACACAGAACTGCGAGTCTGCGATTGGTTGGCCGTTGAAGGTCATCCAAGGTGTTTTTCCTTTGCTGGACATACGGTGGGAGTGGTCATTCTGGGGGAGATAGTTTATGCCGGAGAGAAGTCTATAATTATTTCCTAACGTGGATTGTATCATTTTTGTAGCTTATTATTTGTCTGTTGTTTGGGATGATAATAATCCTCTTCGTTTGTATGTCAGTAATAGGATGGATGCTCTCGAGGCCTAGAGGTATTCGTTTCTCATTCATAGGTCCCGGGTTCGATCCGGGTAGCGACAGAAAAATGTTCTACTCTAAAATTGTCCCCTTTCACTCCATTTCCTGCTCTCTAGCAATGTTCTGTCGTCTGCTTTCGTCTCCTCTTTTTACCCCCACCCCGTCACCTCCTTTGCTCCCTCCTCTGGGCTCCTGACTCTTTCTGCTGCCATTCTACTGCCACTCCTTTGCTCCTTCTTACTGCTGTCTATCAGCCACACCCCTGATCTTCTGGTTAGAAAGATCTACACCTAGCCTTCTCGGACAAGGGCAAAAAATCTCGGAGGTCCCATGTGCAAGTTGTGCATGTTTAAGTTCCCTTTACTTTTTTCTTTTCCATCCTCTGTTGCCGTTAAGCGTCGAGGCGAAAAGTTAAGTTCCCTTAGTAGTCTAAAATCGATAGGAGTAAGCTTCGGCGCCATCCGGCCAAAATTCAAAATTTCCAACCAACTGAAAATGTTTAAATTGTCCCGCACGCTCATATGACCTTATGCAGTTGCGTGCGCTGTAAAACACTTACCAAAAAATGTAATAGGACAAGCTTTACCCCGTTAAGTACCCTTATAAAATACCTCTCAATTTCTGCAGGGTATGCAGGATGGCAGCGACCTTTCAGGCCAAATAATCCTGAGCTGATGCTATTTTCGTAAAATACAATTCGAATTTCATATGGCAAGCTTGTGAGGGGTTACTTTAGGCATGTCGAATGTGAGACAATAGACAGATAGACAGACAAACATATAGATAGATAGATAGACAGACAGACAGATAGATAGATAGATAGATAGATAGATAGATAGATAGATAGATAGATAGATAGATAGATAGATAGATAGAGACTGAGAGAGGGATCGAGAGAGAGAGAGAGAGAGATCGAGAGAGAGAGGGAGAGAGAGGGGGGGGGGGAGAGAGAGAGAAAGAGAGAGTGGTTTCTTAGAAGACTGCTAAGAGTATCGTGGAAAGAAAAGAAATCAAATGAGGTAGTGCTTGATGAAGCCCACGTGGAACGCTCAATGTTAAAAACAATCAGGAAACGACAAATGCAGTTTTTGGGACACCTGAATAGACATAAGGGTCTTGAACATCTAGCTCTCACTGGCAAAATTGAGGGCAAGCGAGGCAGGGGTAGGCCCAGAACAACATACTTAGGGAATCTAAACAAATGGGTTACGTGGAAAGATCAGGGAAACGTAGCTTTTTTGAGAGCATCCGAGCAAAGGAATGAAAAGAAAACCATGATCGCCGATGTCTGTCGCAGATCTGGCACCGGATGATGATGTATGATCTGCAGCAAGCAATACGCAGTTTGACACCACTCCCCCCCTTCCCCCCCCAAAAAAAAAGCAGTGCATGCGTGCGAGTACGTCTCCGAATAGTTTCTGGGTGTTCGCAGGAGACGTCTCCGAATATCTTCAGCCGCTTTATACAAGTACATTTTCATTTCATAGGAGAACATCTGGAAAATCAAGTTCCTGACCGGACTCATGATGCAAACCAGACAAGGGGAACAAGGTTTACAACAACCTTTCTCGTAACAAATGACTCGCTAATTTGTTGAGCCTTCATAGCGGAAAAAATCCATAATAAGACATTCGTTTGCGCCGGATGTTAGACTATAACTTGTCCCACGAACGAGGTAATTAATTGGTATCGGGCGGGACGCTCCTGTAGTACAAGATGACAATAGATACCAACGTATCAACGTTGATTTCTTCCGGCTGGTGCATTTTCATGATGTTAGTAATTAAGAAGGGCAAAATCAAAATACGCGTGTCCTACAGTAGCTGTGTTTTTTAAGTGAGAGAGTGAGAGAGTGAGTGAGAGAGAGAGAGAGAGAGAGAGAGAGAGAGAGAGAGAGGAGACAGTAACAGAGACCAGACCGATCGACCAACCGACTGAGACAGACAGACAGACGGACAGACAGTTTGAGTATGTTTTGGAATCGATGTCTGAACCAGTGTCGCAAGGACTGCTTCATAACCAGTGCTCATCAAAGTGAAAGTGATTGTCTATAAACCATAATATTATTTAGGGGAACGTTGTTTTTGTAAACCAATAATTAAGAAATAAGAGCCAACTAATAGCAATTTAAACAATTGGTCGTCTCCCTACCATGTACTGTATCTTTGCCATCCTCAAAAAGGTCTCCAGTTTCAGAGGGAAAGGCGAGAGGCTTGGAGCCCATGGTCCTCTCCCGATCTGAAACAAGCAAACTGTGTCTGCAGGAACAAGGACGTCTTGTTTCCTTTTTCTGAAATTGTAAGGCAAAACATCAGTTTTCACTCCATTAGGTATAAAACTTATACATTGTTGTTTTCAAAAACTATTAAACGTGAATAGTTTTTAATTACTTTACACGCAAGATTCTTTACAAGCGTACGTCTGGGTTTTTTTCAGTTTGATACGTCCAGACTAAATCTGAAACCGTAAACTTTTCCGGACGTTTACATGACCATTACTGAAATTTATAGGGGAGGCAGCGTGGTGGAATCAGGCTCTCGTCAATTTTTGGGTTATGTAGAGTCATTGGTATCATCTTAAATCAGTGAGAAAATTGCCGCCAAAGATTATTTATTTACTTAGCTTAAGAGTCTGTGTTAACAGAAAATTTACATTTTTGTGTGCCTTTAATCAACGTTTTTCAGAAAAAATCACACAGAAAAGAGTTGTTTAACGGACATGAAAGGTGGTGAGCCAAAAAACAAAAATTCGGTTAAAAAATCACAAACATTCGAAAAAATACAAGTTTCTTCACTTTGATTGTTTTGACGAGAGCCTGATTCCACCACGCTGCCTCACAAAACAGAAGTAGAGCACCTACATTACCACAGAGGCGACTAGATAGCTGACAAAAAAATAATTACAATAATCGTACAATAAACGGAGGACCAAGACCAAAGGTCATATTTTTAATAGGAATGGCCCTTTCGGAAGAAAAGGCCTTCAATGTACACTGGAAGCGGGAGTACAGAAGGTGGAGACCGTTCCGCAAACGTGAACATTCGTGAGGTATGGTTAAAAGATCCCCGTAATACTGAGACAAGAGTAAGGTCACCATCGCAATAATATGTTGACAATTCTCATGCTTTATTGGGGGGGGGGAGACGGCCTCGTTTCACAATACGAACCGAACACTTTGATCCAAGAGAGTCATCAGAATATATCATCACACTGTTTCATACATCATCGTATCTTAATGGATCTTTTAAATGGAGAACAATCTGTATAGCAAGGTCAAGAAAATAATTATTACAATTATAGTAGCATCAAGTCAAATAAATTGTACCAAGCTGAAGAGTCGTTCGTCTATTAAGTCGGATCAATCTTATCAAACTGAGCCAACAATTTCTGTTGATTACATTGTAATACATACAATAATAATTTATAGTGGCTGTGGGCTAGAAGCTCCTCAAATAAGTAGGCCTATATTTCTTTTCGGCAATTCAACATTTAATTTGAACTTTCGCTAAGAGCATGACGTTAATTTTCCACCATACACCATCACAGCTCTGAGTTCAGAGCACAAGTTCGGACACGTCCATATATCGTAAATTTCTATGTACACCAGGTGTTGTTGTTTGTTTGTTTTTGCGCGCTGTATCTTTTCTTTCGCACTTTGCCCATTTGATTTTTCGAGAATAATTTGTTGAATTAATTCACGATTTGAGTCGCCCAGCACTATGCGTTCCATAGATGTAGCGCCATCTTTCATAATTTTGCGAGCTACTTAAAGTCAGGGATTTCTTTTAAAATCTCAAAAATCGCGATTTCAAGTCGACCCCCCCCCCCCCTTCCATGGTATACAGTATTCTTCAGACGTAAACTAAAAGTTTTTAGTAAAGAAAAATTCTTCTTCCACTAAGTCAAAAAGCTAAGGGCTCTGCAAGGAAGATTATTATTATACGTATTCAAGTCATGCAAATGTATGAAAACTGCTTATTCTATAATCTATGTACGCAACTTTTGGGGAGATATTAAACAATGAATGCGTCTTCCTAGAAATCACCTTGAAATTCCTGCAATTTTTTAAAAAACTTTCTTACCTTGAAATACTGCAGGCAATTCTTTGTTTGTATCTTGGTGAAAAGATTATGTCGTCCTGGTGTTTTCTTTTCATTCTTTTTGTTGTTGTTGTTGTTGTTGTTCCTTTCTTAAATAAGTCAATACATCATCGCTTTTTGTTTGGTCCCAGGAACCAGCTTCGCTACGTAATGCAGATATAAAATCAATACCCCATATCCTTCATTCATGAACAGCCTATTAACTATTCATTGAAATCCGGCTCATCACCCTCGAGAGGGATAGGTTAATGAGGTCACCAAGAGGATGCAAGGTGGAGGGAGACAGGGAGAAGAAGGGAGACAGAGAGAGAGAGAGAGAGAGAGAGAGAGAGAGAGAGAGAGAGAGAGAGAGA